TTATATATATATATGTATATCTTGATTACAGTCTATCCTTGCGGTATAGTGCTCAATGCGTTCGCTGAGCGTGGTATATCTGAAGGTTGAACCAGTCAGCGAGACATGTGACTCTGAGTTTCACGCTTACGCGATCATCAGACAGATTATATATATATTTTTTATGGCCTTGGCTTGTGGCCAACATAATGCACGCTCTGATTGGCTAAGAGCGACTTCAGAGCAGGGCATTGGACAGCGGTAACGCCCACCGGCTGATTAGGGATTATGTAAATTAGAAAGAGCAAAAAATTAGTCCATAAGCCGGGACACTATAAATAGGTTTGCTTATGATGATTGGGTAAGGAAAGGTTTGATAGCGGATTTAATCGAATAATACCTGCAGGTTTATGTTAGGTAGTTTGTAGAGTTGAATTAATAACTAGTTATGAGTTAAGGAGGCGTTTTTTGTACGTCACCCCTTCAATTCATGGAAACAAGGCGCAGCCATTTAACCACTGACAATGCCGAAACTATTAAACTTTTGTGAAATCTTCAATTATAGTTACATCTTAGCAACATGAATCCAAATTATGCTTAGGATGTGCAAATTGAGGTCATGTGACCTACCACATGACCTTAAAGGAGCCAAAATAGGTTTTAGAGCTGTCAAACGAATATCTATACTTCCTCTGTGGCACAAATTTATGAAATATCATCAGTAATCTGCTGTTATCTATCTACAGTAGTACAATCCACAGCTTAAAGCAATGAGATAAACATCATTTTCGCCCAATTTCAAATACGATTTGACATGAAAAAGAGGCTCACTCAAGTAACCACTGTTTGCGGCCGTTTCTTCTATTTTTATGAAAAGAACGTCTGATTATATAATTAGCTCTTAATGACAGAAGGCCAGTCATGCTCAACCTCTGCAAATTATGTCACATGACCAAGCACGTGACATCTGAGGGGCCTAAATCTGCCTTCCTCCTTCAAACGGAATCATACTTGTGTCATCTTTCTAAATCTCGTATTTACACCACCTTTTTACCTCAGAGATACTTATTGCAACTCGATATTATTTTATTATTTTGGTGTGTTGAGCTTTAAAAGTGACTTATCTCCAACAATAATCGACAGAAAACTAACCTTTGTAAACATGGATGCCTCATATGTCAACTATTTTACAGTTCCTCTTCAAAGCTACTCTCTTCATCGCTTTCTTCTGAGTCACTGACGCAGGTCAGACCATTAGGGTTACTACATGCTTCATCGTCTGCCATGCCGAAGCACCCTCCTGTGCAAAACAAGTCCGGCAAGTCCACACGAATGCTTGGTAGTTTGATTGCTCTAGATGTTGAAGTAGACGATTGGTCATTGGAGGAAACATTCCGTTTTTCATCTTATTCTCGTAGAACATGAGATAAGATAATTCAATTCTTGTCTTTTTTGGTGGTCATGTATGAGCTGCAAACAAAGGCTTTGCTTTTGCTAAGTCTGCAGAGAGCAACCGACAGGAAATCGCATAGGTTTACCAAGTGTCAAAAAATTTAGTATTCATGTTTAAAGTGAAAGTTCAAACGTACATCAAACGCAATGAAGGTCGATTGCTACAACTTTAAATTGCCGGCATCGAAACTACAAATCAGTTGTGGAAATAAAAACGTGCTAAAACTAAATAATTCAAGCCATACCTTCCTTTTTGATTGGCAATGTACTTTCCCCATTGTCTTAGTACTGGAAAGGCAGGACCTCAGATTTGCACTTCTAGGGCAATGAATGTTCCTCGCTAACGCTCACCTCCTTTGATGAAGTCACTCAGTATTAGTCAAAGGCTACGTGGACTTGCAGCCAGTTGTTTGAAAAGAGTGAGGAACTGAAGATTTTGAAATTTTGACGAATTTACTTGTCGTTGAAAAACAGAAACTAAATGTTACCTTTCCCAAAAATTGAAAGTTATGAGCTATTTTATCTTAGTATTCAAGCCTATGTTGCTTAATCTGGCAACTTTTGTAAACAGGTGTTAATTTATTAATTTCCGGAGTGTTTTTTTTATTCTCGGGATGAAATTTTAACGATTACTTGTCTTGAAGTCAGCCTCTAAACGTCAGCCTCTAAACTCTTTACGGTGGCCAATTTACGTTTTCAACTTAGTTGATAACACTAAATTACCCTGTTGAACTCATTAATAGTTGTGTTTGATGGGCTTTAGACCTAGTAGTCGTACATCGCACGATGAATAATCTCGCCTGACGGCAAATGTCCATATTTATCGTAAGGAAACGTACTCTTCTCCAGAGAAAGTTCAAGCCAAGCTTTTTTTGAGCGGCCGTCTTCGCACATGGCTTTCTAGGCATTAAATGTCACATATTTGAAGTTCTCTCGAGTTCAAGTTCTTAGTGAACTTCATTTCTGTTCAAAAAGTGTGTTTACCAACTATGTTTTCTTTGTTTTTTTGCTCTTCCACGAAGCACAGCGCGGGCTTATGGTGTCGTGAGAGAGGCGACTAGCATTTCTTCTCGATGAGAATGTACACAGATATATTACATTCGGACAGGCTTCAATTATATTAAAGTTTAACCGAAAAAAAATTAAAAACAAACAGCGAAATAGGTCAAAGTACGATAAATTCTTCCCAATAACAGCTTCTTGCGAAGCTGGACGTATGTTTACAAGCAAGAGACAGATGAAACCGGCGGCGGTGATGGATGCTCAAGATGGAACACCATAAAATTCTTTCTTTCTTGGATAACTCGCATTCCCCATCTTTAGTAGTCTTGGCTATGCAGAATTGGAAATTGCCACGCTTAATCCAAAAAGAGAAAAAAAGCAATGTTTAACTGTTATCCTTTCGCCGAATTGTTTTGGAGATACGGCATTAATTCAACTCTGCAAAAAAAAAAGATGTCACATTTACATAAGCGAAGGAAAGAGAAATATTTGAGTCGCGGCTAAATTTCTCCATGCTGCCACACACTAGTGTGTTTTCGAAATGGGTTCTTCAAGAGCAATAGGGAACATTATCTATAGGAATGGATATACCATTTTCGATTTTTTTAGTGAGACGTTTTTGTGACTACTACGCGTGAGCAAAGTAGTGACTACTGAAATTAATTACAAACAGTTTTTAGGCCGCAAGTCAACCCATTTAATGACACAATTTTTCTACCAAAATTCCATTTTAAACCAATATTTTGCTGGCATTTAAAGCGACTTGGGAAAGAGACAGAGAGAGAGAGAAAAGAGAGGATTAATAAATTATTTATCGGCTTGAGGTCGTGACCCACGTCTTTGCTTAAAAATAATGCCCAGCTGGCAAAACGAAATTTATTTATGAAGAATGGCAACGAAGGCAAGGATGACTCTGCGACTCACGAAAGTGTTTGCGGTGCCCGTGAGCAGATATATCAAAATACAGACTGCGCTAAGAACCCATCAGATTGCAGGATTCGTTAGTGTGCACTCTGAGAAAAAAATAAATACACCCTATACTAGTTGCAAAGTAATTTTTCCTAGCCCTGAAGAGGTGAGAAATAATACGAGTAATGAGCAAAATTTCCGCCCGTATTATATGTTAAACCATGGAACAAGGGATTTATTATTCCACTATTGCTTTCAGTTTTTAGTATTTAATTTTAGTATGCGAATTCCATCGGCCTTATCTGTGCATTGTATCGATCGCATAAGGCGGTGTACGCGAAATACGAAAAGAACTTGAACTAAACCAGTAAAGTGTTCTTTGAGTTCTCTCTTGCGCAAAAGTTCGCTTCTTTGACTGTCAAATTTAAAACGAAAAAAAAATCAAAGTTTGGATTTTTAGTGCGGCCAATATGTTGCTACGTATTTTTGTCATGTTCTAAAGTGTAATACTGTGGCATATTTCGCCATTCTCAGGACCTTATTTGGTAAAATGACACAGTAGTGGAATGATAAAGCTCATTAATATTCTGATTGATATGAAAGACTACCAAATATTTATTCATTTGCTTATTGCATTGTTATTTATTCTTAGACTCGCCCACAATTCAAAATGTCACCACGTCATCTAAGAAGTCTTGGATTGGCCAGATAGTGACTTTAAAGTGTCTTACTGATGGTGTTCCCACGCCAACACTCTCTTGGTACAAACCTGAAGGAAGTCAAATAAAGAGAGTCAGAGCCAGACAAAGCAAAAACACAAGTGCCACTTAGGGGTGATCAAGATTTTGGTCATTACAAGTGCATTGCTGCTAATGGACAGATTCCATCTCATGAGAAATTGATAACGATAAATCAGATAAGTGAGTAAAAAAAAATCACTTTATTTTGATAAGAGGAAAATTAGGTATTAGGTCAGCATATTCTTTTTGCCTTTACTCTTTATCACTGTTTCAGGTGTATTAAAAGTAAAAAGCCACATTTTCTTTCAAAGTACTCGACAGGGTAACTCATTCACCTTGTTCATCTTATTCGATAGTTCAACTTATAATACTTTCATATAATCTACTCTTCTTTCACTTTCTAACCGCTGCTTAGCTTTCAAAATATATCTTACGGCTTTATCTAAGCGTTCCGTTCGCATTTTCCCCTCTTTAGCAGAGTAAGACCACATATTTTTTTTTCGCGTACGTTACCTCAGTGAGGTATAATGGTGTTATACTGGAATTATGCCTGATATAGTCAGCCCTGATCTCTTGTGGAAAATGCACCCATATTTTCTAGAAAGATTTACGGTAAACTGTCGACAGCGTGCCCTTTGGTAGCATTAAACACGTTACAAAAGCATTGAACTTCAGGCAGATTGATGACATCCTCCTATGCGAGTATCCATAGGAAATTTCCTCAGCCATGAAAAATTAATTTTTTCCTCTTTTTATTTGACTTTTGGCTAAATTTATCCGGTAGCTACATGTATATTCATTAAACTGTGATATTACAATGACTTGCATTCATCCTAAGTATTGTGACGAAACTCACTATGAGGTTATCACAAAAAGAAATTTCTCCTTCCTTTCTTTTGCTCAAAATGATCCTTTTTTTTATGGCACCTTGTAGAGAAACCAGGGAAAGCATCTTTAAAATCATCAGAGTCAGTCATTCAAGCAACTTTTATGATAATACAATGGACTGCACCAGCTGATGATGGAGGAAGTCCGATTACAGGATACCGAATGATCTTACAAAAGGGTGAAACTGAGATAAAAAAGGATAATATCACCGATCCTGGAACGACAACTTATTCGTTGCGTGGTTTGGAGAGAAATACAAACTACACGGTGAAACTGTTTTCCAGAAATTTTGTGTTCGAGGGAGATCCTAATGTAAGGACGATTAGGACCAAGTTTGAAGGTGAGGAATCACAAGTGATTTCGTTACTGAGCACGATTGATTAGATTTGTTGTGAGTTACATCAGTTTTTACAATGTTTTTTTTTACAAAAGAATTCAACCTCCTTAGCTCCCATAGCCATCAGAATTTCTACTTAATTTATTGACATTAAACAAAACCTTCAAAACCTTCCGTTGCATGTTTTACACATGTAGTACTTCTTGTGTTAAAGCTAAGTTTGGTTTGTTTCAAACCTTGTCACGGACTTACAAATGAGCAGTTGAAGAACCAAATTAAGTCCGAGATACCGTCAATAAAATGATACTCCTAGGTATATATTGTCTTCTCAATACCATAGCTTGTTTTCATTTCGCAGGGATAGGCCCAAACCAAAACAAATAAGGTTGTCTTTCTCAGGAAAGTTTCTGTCGAACTTCATCCGGCACATATCTCACTCAACAAAAAGTATTGTGGCAACAGGCGTGAATTTAGTAACAGAAGTTGAGAAGTTGAACATGGCTACAAAATTCGTAGCACCTGTCATCGCTTTAGCGCTTCTTGTCATTGTTTCCTCAGTTGGCAAACCCCCTGTAGAGAAAAGTTTGTTTTCTCGGCGGAAAAACTCGCGTCAGTCTATGTTTGCTGAAGAAGAATCGTAGCCCTGAACGCTTAAATGGCTCGAGATGCAGAGCATGCGTACTCATTTTCCCGCTGTGTCATGGCCGAGTGTCTGTACTTAGTCTTGCGCGATGTCAAACTTTCTGTAATAACGTAGCACAAATGAATGCATTTTGTTTTAAGCTACAATCGACTATCATCACTTTTTTTCCTTTAAAATTATTTTAAATTTCTTCAATTAATTTTGCTTGCCATACACGTTCGTTTCAAAAATATCCCAAAAAATCCTCCACCAATTCACAGATTATCTTATCACCGACAAGAGTTGTGACCAGGTTTTTATCAAGAAGTTGAATAATTATTAGAAATTTCACACTAGTCATGTTGTTGACGTCAATCTAGGAGCCCCAGGTGTGGTCGAAATAGACGACCTGCCAGGTGAAACGACAGACGATACAATTACCCTAAAGTGGAAGGAGCCAGAAAGTAATGGAAAAGTTGTTATCATGTATTCAGTGTACCAAAGGGTAGTGACTGATGGGAAAGTGGGACAGTGGACAGAAATAAGGAGAATCAGAGATGTTTCTGTGAGAGAATTGAAAATAGCATTGGAGAGAGGAAAAGTGTATCAGTTTGCCATTACTGCAACTAATGAGCTTGGTGAAAGCCTAAAACAAGACAAAGCGAATGTCCAGCAAGTCAAGGCAGAAGGAAGTATGTACAAATGAATTTTATTTTCCTCTTTCAACGGTTTATCCTTTTCTTTACTTAGTTTTCAAGCACTCTCTATGTCATCAGCATCGAGGTTTTATGGGTGAATTATTCGCTTGCAAAAACCTGTATCAATGAGAAACATTTCACTTACGTCGCAGTTGATATTTGTGTGCCAACTGCAAGGATATGGCATATCTATTAAATGAGATTTTATTTATTGGCTGGCACACAGGTATTTTGGGGAGTTTACTGACACATGCTCATCTGAATCGGACAGAGAACTCTGCAAAACTTCAGTTTTATCTTCTCACACTTAAATTGACTGCTTTTTCCTTTCCTTTGCCGCCATCATTCAGTTGATGCCTCTCTCCCACAAAAACATTTTCACCCTTCCACACTAAATTCAGAGACCTTTCCTCTCATTTTCATCACCACGGCACTTTATTCTTTATACCGATGAGAGCGACTTTGCACTTAGCCCCCTGTTCGCGCCTTAATTTCTGAACCACGAGAACTTAAATTAAGGATGTATGATCACGTAGCCTCACGCTGCGAACAGAGAGGTTGTCAATCTTTTCACTGGTTTTCTTCGGTGAAGCCATAAAGTTCTTTTAAGTTCTTTCTGTCTGTAGTCGCTCTCTCTCTCTATTTCCAGCCTATTTGCACTTAAAAATCTTTCTCGACGAACTCAAATTATAACAATTTTGTCCGTTTGGAAAAGCTTTAGCTCTTAGTATTGTTGTTTTGCAAGTTAATTTCTGGCAGAAATTGAAAAATACCAAAATTGAACTCAGAACAGAACTCACGAAAAAAAACCTCTCAAATTGGCCCTCCTAACCGTACAGTTTATGTGGAGTGTTTTTGTAAGTAAAGGCTGTTTTATACATGAGTTTAAATGATAATTCTTATACATACAAACAAACGTTCATTTTAAGTCGTATTTTGTTTTTCCCTGTTCAAACAGTAAGCACAGACGTTTACCTGACAGCGACAATAAAGGAGAACTGTAGCAGACGTACAGAAGTTGCTGCGAAATTTCCAGAAATGGTTAGATAATCTACTCGATCCATATACCAGAGAAAATGTAATACTACCATAAGATTCTGTTCTTGAATGAAATCTTAATATTTCTATTAAAAAAAATATGATATCTTGAACGATCTTCAATATGTAACAAGCATGCATTTGAAAATCCTTTTTTTCTTTATATGTCCTTTTAGGCTTGTCAAATTGCCTTTAGGTTTGGCTGCTCATCCGCCAACACTGTGAACACCAGGTAAGGTACAATTTGTTTTTTACACTAAAAAAAACCAACGGGGGGGAGCTTTATCTCATAGTGGCGTATTTTAGCGTGAAAACTGGTTTTTCTGCTTTATAAAATCTTATTTAATTGGAAATAATTTGCATTTGAAGTGCATTTTGTTTAGTGTACAGAAATATAATGACACAGAATGACATGAATTAATTTTATTTACCTTGGTTTATAACATAAAAAGTACTCTTTTGGTTACAGTTCAATGTATTTTAACACTTAAAAGTCACTAAAGTACAAATATGTGTGATGATACTCTTTGCTTCCCTCCTTATCTAGGTGTGGCAGTGTCGTTCTTGACTTCATGATGAGGTTCAATCACAGTGTAGTCGTTAGCAATGTTTTAATTGTCTTGTCGGATGCTGTAAGGCAAGACAAATTCGGAGGTTTTAAAGTCAATCCAGACTCAATTAAGCAGGTTTCTATATCCACAGACGGCTCGGAAAGCACAACAAAAGGTAAATTTTACAAAGAAATTGTTAAATGTTTACACATATTCTTCCGAAAACGGACTTTTTCTAATTGTATTCCGTATCTGTTTAATTCAAAAACTCATTTCTGTGAGTGATATATTTCCAGGTTTTTGTTTTTGCCGTTGCTGTTGCTTTTGTTCATCTAAACAAAATCCTACTTTTAAAAATTATTATAGAGAGAGTAACACCTTACTTTTCCTTCGTACCAAGCCAATTAGAGTAAACGTTTTTCGGTCATAAGTCTAAGCTATGTAGTGAGAGCAGTGTATCGACCAGGATCAGTGTTAATGTTGTTTGAATGTTATTTCATCAAGCTTTGTAAAATAACTCATTTTAGGTCCTGAGGAATGTAACTGCCCATCTAACAACGTCTTGTTAGCCATAATTGGGGTTCTTGCCTTCACAATCCTTCTTCTAATTATTTACATAATCTGGCTACACAGGAAAGGTAGGTAAAAAATCATTATTTATGATAGAGGGTTTGGCTTCAAGATTCATTTATGAGCGAAAGCAAATTTTGACCCACATCCGCATCATTTGTCTTTTTTTTTCCTTTCGTTCTTTTTTTAGGCGCTGTAGGGAAAGAGAGGTAAGAATTTGCTGCCAGTTGGATTTTGTCGATGTCATGTAACAGATATGGTTTCATCGTAACAAAAACAATTCTACTTAAAGCTGATGAAATTCTCAGCTTTTTGTAAATATTTGTATGCTTTCTCAATTGTAGGACTTATAAAGATGAAAGAGGTGATTATGACGTAAGTAAGAGCCAGGACATTGCAGAAATTACGTAATCTCCTTTACTTCTACTTTCTATAAGAAATTAAACGCTTGCAGCAAACAAGAAGGAAAAAGGCGTAGTTCTACAACAAAAAAGCATATTGCATTTGTGGCAGATACAATGAAATAGAAGGAAGTCAGACTCAATAAAGTCTTTGTCCTGGGATCATGTCCTTAACCAAGATACTCCACGGATTTGCCTTCGGTTTTCCCTGGTTTAACTTGGCTGCTTCACTTCGTAGATCGCTAACTGGTCTGCACCCGGTTGATATTTGCTCTCTAAATAATTGTTTTTGCGCATTTTTGGCCTTCTTATTTTCTTGATGCCTTACTTTCTAAACGTTAATTTAGGAACTGATAACAGCTACAGTTTTTCGTGCGTGCATTTTTCAAAAATTGCACTACCAATCGTAAATCTCCATGTTGTAGCTTCGGCGAATATGCTATGAACCTCGATCACTCCATTGGACATAACAGTTTCAAAAGCAGAGGAAAAAACCGTTAATAATAGTAAATGTTCATAATGATAAGGACAAGAGATAGTAAACCATTTGTAATCTCTTGTTAGGGAAGGATTTAAATCTTTGTGTGATAAACCATGAGTAAACTGATTTTTATAACCATGTGGGACTTTTTACCGGGATTAATAACAGATTTATATATGGATACCTTAACGGTATGTTGGTTTAATAGAATGAAACAGGATTAGATGATATCGAACCAACTATACCCGAGTCGAGAAAACTCACTCAGCCTCCTGCGGAATACATGGATCTCATAGAAGTCAACAAAGATAATAGAAAAGCACAAAGTACCGCTTCAGGTGCCGATTACGTGCCTCTTCATCCGTTAGCACGCTGCTGGGAAGTTCCAAGACACCACGTGACCATAGAAAAAATCATTGGTAAAGGTGCTTTTGGTCAAGTTGCCAAGGGAACAGTGGTAGGACTTCGAGGGAGTCCCAGAAACGACCACAGTGGCTATTAAGATGCTTAAAAGTGAGCTCTTATACTGTAAATAGAATAACAGTCTTGGCGTACAGTCATTCAGGAAATGTTACCGGGTTACCGTAATTTTTTAGCTATTTGCCATATCATAACTTATTTCGGCATTTCGCATGTTATTCCCGTTAACCAATTTTTATTCCTTGTTTTTAATGCTCCAGCAAACGCAGCTGAATCGGACAAGAGAGATTTGATGAATGAACTTGACACAATGAAGCAGCTGAAACCACATCCTCACGTCATTAAACTACTGGGATGTGTTACAGAATCTGGTATGCTTTGGTTATGCGGGTCTAATTTTGCTGTACACATTTTGGTTATGGTTTACTCTGAAACGCTTTCTAGTCATTGATAATTTGCTTTAATGGAAGATTCACTGCTTCACCGTTGAGCACGACAAACAACCCTGGTATAAGGTAATTTTATATTTTTTTAGCCAACAAAGACGCTCCTGGATTTACTGATAGCCTAAGACCAAATATTTGCCACTGAACAGGCTAGAAAGCAACAAGCAGAAACGCTTGTTGTAAGGGAATATTTAGTCCGTTTCTTCTTGAGAGAACATTACATAGTTTTTCAGCTTTTCTTGGTAAAACCATCTTGTTTTCGTGAGTATTGATCATAATTGGGCTATTTATTGATTTTATTTATTGAAATTTCATCTTTTTTCAGTAATTTATCAATTAAATTGTTTAATTTCTTCAGAACAGCTGTTGGTTTTGATTGAATATGTGCCTTTTGGGGATCTACTGGGTTACCTGAGAAAGAGCCGGGGATTAAAGGACACATACTACAAGGACCCGGATTTTAAACCGCAAACAAATTTGACGTCACAGCAGCTGATGAAGTTTGCTTGGCAAATTGCTGATGGAATGTGTTACTTGTCCTCAAAATCTGTAAGTTAATTAAGAATACAAAAGACAAACAATTCTGAAACCTTCTGGTAAGGTGTATCGTCATGTTAAGCTCTGTCTTGCATAGAATATTATGTCTTCACAAGATCACGCCCGGGAGATGCAAACGTATTCTTACCGTCTTGTTGAGGCCACCTCTTTAGGGCCGGAACCCTCTCAATTTTGACGTCATCTAAGTTTTATTCCAATGGGTGAATGACCATATTTCTGCATCGTTGCAAGTGTACCCCATCGATATAAAATATCTTGGTTTTTCTCGTGTAGGCAAAGGCAGAGACGAGAGTGAAAAGGATCCTTCAGGATATTTAGCCTAAACTGTGTGTACAACAAATATCCATTTTAGTGACAAGGAAGAAAAAGAATTAAATCTTGAAATTCAAAAATTCGTCTTTGGTCGTTAATCTGCTACGTTACAGAATCCTATTTCGATTAAAATCTGATAAGCGTTCTATGAAATAACTGCGTATTGCACAAATAAAGTAGTTTGCTTCTCTCTGGAATATGGAGCAGTGTTTATAGTAATTTAATTTTCTGCCATCTGGAAGAAAGAGAAATACACACATCATATCATGTTGCTTGATATTACTATTTTCCTATCTGAACCATTTCATTTCAGTTCTTTTTCTTATGCAATCGCTAATTTCTTTTTGTTGCATCAATTCTTTCCTAGATCATTCACCGAGACCTTGCGGCCCGCAATGTGTTGGTTGGACAAAAGGAAACGTGTAAAGTGACAGACTTCGGAATGGCCAGAGATGTGCAGAAGGAAAATATTTATGAACGAAAGACTAAGGTAATCAAGAAAGAGGGAAGGTGCTAAAGCTGATATATTCCTGATTTCGATCATGAATTCCTTGGAATGAACCCCAATAAAAATATTAGCCATGCGTACACGAGTCTAACTTCGAATATCATTGTCTTTGACTAGTCGCTTCCTATCATTTTTGAGCTGCTTCACAAAGTGATATTTTAAATGTTTAGGGCCGTCTTCCCGTGAAGTGGACAGCTTATGAGGCCTTGTTGTATGGTAAATATACCACCAAAAGTGACGTGTAAGTGTTACCCGTAGCAGTTTTCCAACAAGTTTTATCAATTTTTATCAAGAAATTAATTCTATGCTTTTTTTCAAAGGATACATATATTTTATTTGTGATATATACTGTTTAAGTCTACCATATTATTTCTGCAGATGGAGTTATGGAGTTTTGCTGTACGAGATTTTCACCATAGGTAACATCGAATGGAAGTTTATAAGGCTCTGTGGATGTTTTTTTTGCTATATAACATGTTTAATTAAACAATGCAACGTGTTTAGTTAGACAAAGGTGATGAGCTTCCCCATGCAACCTCAAACTCCATCAAGAGACACAGGTGGTGTTTCAGCAAAGTTCGTTTTTTCGTCACAATTATATTTCGATGGTCTTGTGGTTCTTTCAGGCGGTTCACCCTACCCACGAATGGATGGAAGAAAAATTGCAAACTTACTTCAGGATGGATACAGGATGCCTAAACCACAACATGTAGATGAAAACTTGTAAGTTTTCTTTTTCAAATCGTTCTCTCTTATTGTACTGAGAAACGTTGTTTAAATCTCTAACAGATCATTTGAACAATTCCAGGTATCAGATCATGATGAAATGCTGGAAGAATGAACCAGATGCAAGACCAACCTTCACTGAATTGAGAAACCAGCTGAAGGACATGGAAAACTTACACAAGGTTAGAATTTTGATCAACATGAAAGTTTCTTTTCACGTGAAACCGACTGGTCTAGGCTCAGCTAACTGGGGTTTTAACCTTAACAGCATTGAGCCAAGATAGGTTACAATACGTACTCATCTCTGTAATTTTTACGAAGTGTGGATTCCATCTTTTTGTGATGTCACTGTAGCTAGCACTCCGCGAAAAACAGCGGAGAAATGCGCTCGAATTTCTCAATGGCAACTGACACTTTATGGTTATTTCAAAGATCATAGGATGATTGCAAAAGTGTATTAAGACGCATGAACGGTATCAGACGACGAAGCCATAAAACACTTTCTCCTTGAATTTGTTTTGGTGAGAAAAGCTGACGGTTAGGAAGGATAACCGCTCATAACATAAGAGGAACACTTTTTTAATGATGGTGATTATTGTCTTATTTTTCTCTGCAGAAACTGATCAACATGACAATGTACGACGAACAGTTGTATGCAAACGTCGAGGATTTAATAGTGTAGTTAGATACACGTCAGCGGTATATGACTGACTAACAGTTTAAACACTTTGCCACAACGAGTTTCAGGGATTAATCATCTTTGCCTTACACGCTTACTTGGTAGAAATAGCCATGTTGTGTTGAGCAATCTTCTGTCACTCTCAGTTGAGTTTAAGATTCAGTTAATCTTACATCATTCTAAACTAGGTTACCTATTGGTCAAAACCCTTCTTTCCTCAGCTGCACTAAATAGTTGCATTAGAAAACAGTACCTAATATGAAAACAAAGCTCTGTCTGTCTGGATCAGAGGTTGCTTGAGAAAATGGTCTTAACGTCCAAATGAAGAAGAGTTTTGCCTCTGTCTTAAAATATTCACAGACGTCTTTCTTTTACTTCTGATAAAGTTAAATAGAACAATTCCTATCATTGACATATGATTAAATGGCGATTGATCAGTTTATAATTTCCAAACCAAACTAAAGCATAACTAAATTACAAACTCGGAGGCGGGAGTACACTGAATAACATAATGTAAACTCTGCAAACTGTTATAAAAACAAACATTCCGACAGAGAAAAGGCAAAGGCAGTTATTTCTTTCAAACTTTCAGTGAGAAATCTATCCATAATTAACATCTTTGATTTAATGCTTTTCACGCGTCAAATACAAAAATGTGCGAGTTAATAACGGAGTCTTGAATACTTTACGATAATAAAGTGAGAAATGAAGAGACCGATAAACCAAGACAATGATCCAAAAAGTAACGTAAGCATTTTCAATCAACATAAGATTGAAAGAAAATTTTAAGATTTGAAGTTATTGGAAGAGTAGAAATGGTGTTTGCACGGAAAAATGAGTAAATTTCTGTAAGAGGAATAGCCCACCCCTGATGCAAATATTGTGTCATTGGTGGGCTCAGTTGTAGTCTGTAGTGGGATTAAGTAAGTTTACTCAAAATAATAAATGTACTGCTTTTAGGAGTCGCTCCTTGGTAAGAATATTTACTGATATTCCTTTTTAGCCCGATTAACGCCTGCATTTTGAGAATTCTTTCGTACAAATTAGTGAATTTTTGATATGCAAATTAAGATCGAAGGGAAGGGTCTCCTCTGATCACGCTGGTATGAATATTATTTCAGCTGAAGTTTTTATATTTTGTCTGAGAACTAAATGAATACATCTTGTAACTTGTAGCAAGATAGAATTCCGTGAGCCATATTACTGCAGTCGGTGCGCGCTAGACAAAATCTGTGAAATTTTCACTTTCGATCCCTGTCCTCACGGGTGGTCTAGCCAAAAATCATTTTTGGCTTGTGTCGATGCCAAAAAAAAAAAACTATCCGAGAACAACTACACTATTTTTGAAATATGTATCCTAAACCCTTTTCATGGGCAAAAAATAAACGAAAATTTTTTCCCGACGGGAAGTCGAGGGGACCGCTCTTGTCGAGAGCGGCACTCAAAGTATTTCTTTTATGACGCATTTCCAAAGCGAATGAATTACTAAAAGAGGCTAAGGTGAACAAAGCTAATTGTTAGCAGCAGTTGTTGCCGTGCCAAATGGAACGACAAAGTGAACTGGTTAAAATCAGTTAATACAAGCCGCCTAACTCAAGTACGTACCCATTTTATACAGTAACTTGAATGTCCATTAACTGTCACAAAGGAGTGAACTACTTGTCGTGGGATCTTTATCATTCTCAATTGATCTCTTTATGCGACGAAAAACTGTGATTGGATATAAAACGAATTCACGTGGTCTGAAGAGAGATAAAAAACATTACTACCATCCAAATTTAGACTGGTAAATGAAATGGTAAAGATTCATAGCTTAGTCTTTTCCGCCCTTTTTAAAAAAACGACGGAACACTTTGGAGGTAATAACTGTGACTGTTTGGGCTAATGGTTTCCTTTAAGAAACATAGTCTAGGCTAAAAAAAACACTACAGTAGAAAGATTCCTGTAAGTGCTTTTGTGGTAGGTTTCCATTTCCCAAAAGTAATCGCAGAAGGCTCTTAAATTCAAAGTGGATCCTTTGACAATTACAGCACCATAAGCTCCTTGACCATGCGTATTAATATACATTATCCGCGGGGAAGTTACCATAAATAAAGAGGTCTTCCCGTTTGAAATAATGTCTAGGAAATACGTTCTGTCAACCTTAAGGTTATATAGCTGACCACATGCTGTGGACAGTACGTGGTCATCTTCTAGTCTAACAGGTAAGGGTTCTGTCACAGAAATATTTGCAAAGGACAACATGGTGGCAGCTTCTGGTACGGAGAGATATCTCTTGGGTAGACTGTCCCGGCAAACCTCCTATTTCCTAAATCTATACAGGCACAAAGCATCCTAAATATATCGTGCGGAAGGGGTCCTAGATCAGGAATTTTAATTCCATTTCTAAAGAAAATATACGCAACAAGAAGAAAAATTAAGCTACAAGCATTAATTTCATTGCATCCGTTGAAGGTGCTCTGGCTTATCTCTTGAGGGAACTGCTAAACACAGATATCCATACTAAAAGTTAAGGCATTTTAAGGGGGGAATGCTTGCAATTCATCGACGATCTTTCATAACTCCTCTCTATATAGAATTCCGGGTCAAAAGCCTTCGTAGTTCCTTTTTCTTTACTGATTTAATTGGTCTGCCTCCTCCTCGTCCTCTGCGTTTGCCAACCAGGTGTCAGTAGGTTCTGCTTCTTAATTGTCTTCGCACAACTAATTCTCGGAAGGAATCTAGTTCCTCCGATAAAACAGGGACAAAGTAATTCAACCCTGATGCAATTTTCTTTAAAAGCAAAGTTCCTTCCTTCTTCTAACAAGGAGATCTTTCCTCTGGTCCACAGCGGATCTGAAAATCGATCCAGAACTACCTGATACCTAAATTTAAAAAAAAAAAAAAAAAAAGAAACCCTCTTTTGGAATCATTACCATAACACAGTCTTGAATCTGGTAAAGGTTAAGACTGACACCCACTGGAAATGAACAAGATAAGCAACCTGCCGATTGCGATTGACACTATGATCCTAGCTTACAAAAGACTAAGTGCTAACTGAACACGATAAGTTGAAAAATGTTGTTGCAATGTGTCAACAAAGAACGACTTTTCCTGTAGAGGCTTTTTGTTGGTTTCTATTTTGTTTTGAATTCACGTGTAAACCACGGAACAGCACCAAAACGTTACATTTACCAAGCTTTCAGTACAGTTTTCTGGTTTTGGATTTTACGATAAGATTCCATCTTTGTAGAAGGACATAAATCCAGTCATCTCTTTTTTGATCAACAGCAGCTCTTCGCTTAATTGCTGAACTTTAATTTGCCTTTCTTACCACTGCTCTTTTGATACTGAAAGGGACTGGAATGTCATCCAATTGGTTTTCACTGAGAAAGAATACTCTACAGCGATACGATCAATGCTCAAAAATGATTGTGGCTTACCAGTATTGTTAGAGTTATCAGGCTACTGTCATGGGATTTCCCCTTTCTCAATCTTCTCGGGCACCACGCTACTGGTATCACCAACAAGTTGACTGTAGTCGCACTCGGTTGTTTTTAGCGAATAGCTCTACTGATAACTTTTCTTCGCAGCCTTTGCCTCTGCTTAGACGAGTCTGCATAAAAGAAAGGAAGGTAAAGAAGTGTGCTTCCTTTTAAAAGAGAGACCGGGCAAGCGTGACACATACCATCTCACCGATTTCTTTAGGGTCACTAAGTTATTCAAGAATCCAGGGTGGTTCGGGCTCCCGGCTTATCCCTGGGGTATTAGAGCCCCACACCAAATTCGTGGGGTAAAAGGCTAAAATTAGCAACATAAATAGGATGGAACCTTCTCCGAAGTTCCCCTCCCTCCCCCCCCCAAAAAAAATACATATATACATATATGGTGCATTGAGTAAAATTATAATAGGTATATTAAGTGTTTCATTTGTGTAAGTTACATTTGGCAAACGTTGCTGTCAACCGCCGACGTTCATTACTCAACTTGGTAATGTTTAATCTATGATATGTACATACCTTCATGATTAATGTTTTCTAATAGATTGCGTCACCGTCACAGAATTTCTATTATAAGTGACATCTGTTGTTTTTAGACATTAGTGCCACAAAACTAGCGTCAGCGATCACATTCTCAAATTAAAATTGAATGAATGAACATCAGGTCATGACCAAAACTTGAACAGATTAACGTCGGAGGTTAGGTATTTCAGAGGGACGTGATCAAAAATCTTTTACAAAAGGCCGAAAAGTTTTTTTTCTCCCACAAACGTAGTGTTAAGATAAGTCTTTCCTGTGATGGTATGTTTGTCGACATACAATGTTGCCCATTTGCAATTATTGGTTCTTTTTAAGTGGCCCTGCAGGATACGCAAATAAGCCTAGGCCATAAAATTTATTTGGCATTACAGATATCAGCACCTGTGTTGAAAAAGCAGGGATAGATATATAAATGGTCAAAGTTTTCCTCAACGAGAACGTTTTTGAGGGATTAATGCTAATTGTAGACTGAGTTATGAATCAAGTTTGAAATAGGCCTGTACCATGAGGGATGTTTGATGTCAACTTACAAGCTGTCATGGAAGTGTTATCATTCCAAGTGATTGTCTGCTAAAACAGGAAGCCGTGAGAATAGCATAATTTGCAAAGGTTTAAAACCACAGCTTGCAGTTAACACATATTTTTAACTTTAATTGATATTAAATTGCGTCTTGAGTCTCTTAGTAATCTCAACATGTTAAATTTTATTGGCATTGGAGACATCAACAGAGAACGTGCAGAGAAATGGCATGTCTATGTCTGTGTTTCCTAGAAGACGCGATTTTCCAGAGAATCTAAAATTAAACTCTAGAAAGTAACTAGGGACTTTAAGAAACGAGAATAGGGACGGCGACGGGGACCCCAAAACCCGCAAAAAGACTGGGGAGATAACGCCGTTGGGGCGGGAATTTCCGCTCATGATGTCTGAAAGAAGTTCGTAATCAACTTTTGATTAGCCACGATGATGGCGTGATAAACGATGAGGAACTTCTACTCCTGTACGATTTAAACAGGTCCGATAATGTTGATCTTCCGTACAATTCTTATCCTGGTTTTGACTTCGATGATTTGGAAAACGACGATTGCCTTTCAGTTTTTCGCTTCTACAAGAACGACTTACCATTTCTGGCTGAAGTATTGGGGATTCCTGAGATAGTGGAGTGCTATCAAAGAAGTATCTGCAGCGGATTGGAAGCTCTTTGCATTTTTCTAAAGAGACATAGCTATCCTTGTCGTTAATTAGACATGATTGCTCGCTTTGGGAAGCCTGTTCCAGTGTTATGCATGATAAACAACTACATGATCGACTACACCTACCAAGCACACAGTCACAGAATTTTGTAGTGGAATGATAGCATCTTACAAGGTAAATTGAAAGAAAATATTCTCGGTAGATGTTTGTCGACTGGCGCGACAAAATTCTTCAAAATTGTGCTGATAGATAAAAAACCAAAACGGCTACATAAGTTGTAGAATGAATAAAGGGGTAAGTTTCTAAAGAAACTGTGGTGCTGCGTCGGTGGGAGAGTATAGCAGGTAATTTAGTGTTAACAACTGAGTTGAAACGTAAATTAGCCACCGTAAAGGGTAGAAAAAGCTGACGTTTCGAGTGTTAGCCCTTCGTCAGAGCGATTGGAGGAATTGTGGGTTGTGTGTGGGTTTACGTGTAGAAAGTGGAGCTACGCCATCGGTGGGAATATGGTGACAAGAAAACAGGAATAATGAACTTTAACATAATAAATGAACTTTAATATAAGGAATAAATTAGTTGAATGAAAAGCGCTAGTTCATTCCGTGGGGATTAAGGGTGCCGATTTGGAAGATAAATTTTTGTTCTAGTGTTTTACGGCTTTCCGAACTAGGCAGTTGTAAGGATCAGTAGGCCGCAAACTGCCATATGCTGGTTTGGATGCGTCCTTGTCATTTTTTTTTTCCACGTCGCGAAGGTGTTCTCGGAATCGGTCACCTAGTCGTCTTCCTGTTTCGCCGATGTATAACTTATTGCAATAAGTGCAAGTTATGTAGTAAATAACATTGGCGGAGGTACTCGTAAAGTGATCAATGATCTTATTGGATCTCTTGGGTCCCGATATTTTCTCTACGTTATGAATGAAAGAACACTGAAGTTTTGCATCGTGAGCGAGCGCATTTGAAAGTTTCAGATTGGTCATTGGTTTGAAATGAACTCCTGACTAAAAAGTTGCCTATGTTTTTTGTCACGTTTGAATGAAATAAGTGTGGGTTTGCGAAACGACAGTGCCAGTCTCTGAATCGTTTTGGAGTAATTTAAAATTTTTAAGAATGATAGATTTAACTGCGTGGTTGTGAGGATGAAATGTAAGAGTAAATGGAATCCGGTCAGCATTTTCCTTCTCAGCCGTTTGTACTGCTTACCGAAAAACTGGCAGATTGCCTCTGATTTTTCGGAAAAATCAGAGTCGTCATTACATAAACGACGAAGTCTGAGAAACTGTGAAAAAGGTATGAAGTTCTTGACGTGAGATGGATGTGAAGATGAATACAACGAGTAACTACGTGAATCTGTAGGTTTGTAGTAAACACTAGTGCATAAACCGTTGCCTTCAATTGAAATTTTGATGTCTAGAAAAGCCAAAGAAGTGTCATCAGGACTCGAGGGAAAACAAGACTAATTAGTTTCCCGAGGGACCATGCAGTAAGTGCTTTGTTATATATTTAGACTTTCCCTTTAACAATCATATGGCAGAAAAAAAACTAAAAAACAAAGACTGCACAACTTCTTTATTCACAATCGTCAATCCTGCTGAATGAATAAGTCTTAATTTTATTACAAATGTTTCGAAGAACATAAAAAAGTAAAATAGGCTTTTATAACCTCAATAAGAAAAAAAAAATCATTTGGAATTGTAAAAATTGATGGTAACATTTGCTACCGAAAATGCTGCTGCGTTTAGTGTTTACAGTCTCCTGGCTATGAGAGTATTCGGTGCGGGCAACAACTGCGCAATTGTGTCCCGGTCAGGATATATTTGAATTTGATCAGGGGCATGTGACCAAGAATTAACCAATGACAGTGCTCGTTTTGTTGAGTAAGAGTCTAGGTATATAACAATGTCGAATGTAATCCTCAGATGCAGTGAAGTAAGTCAATGTCCGACTATCAAGGATTTCTACTTTCTAAATGGAAATGGCAAAGAAAATGTTTACAATTTCTTACCAACAACATTACTTTTATTGTATGCATGGTTTTACGCAGGGTTTACAGCTGTGTTAGTAAGATTGGATCAGCGGGTCCAGACTCGATTGGTAGTCATTACAATTATCAAGACCACGACAGACAAGTAACATTGTTTAGCGGTATTCAACTGTGGACAGTGCCACGCAATGGTGATTACAGGATAGAAGCAATAGGAACCTCAAGGGGGTACGGTGAGGACAGTATCATAAAAACCGGAGGAAGAGGAGCACGGGTGATTGAAACTTTAATTTGACCAAAGGTCATTAATAGACTTGTTGGTCAAAAAGGAGAAAAATGGAATTCAAACCGAGAAACTGTCGGAGGTGGTGGAGGTACATTTGTAGTGAAAGAAAACAACAAGTCTTTGATCATAGCTGGAGGTGGAGGAGGAGTCAACATCCAGGATGTGATGCATCCATAAACATAACAGGGAATGGAGGGAACAACTCGTCACTGGGGTCAGGAGGAAGCCACGGACATGGAGGAAAAACTAGTGGTAAATTTGCAGATAAGCGGAGAAATAAGGAAAAAAAAACCAATCAGTATGTTCAATTCACCAGGACAGGAAGACGACAGTAAGATTTATCTAAACTTAATTATTGAGATTACTAATTCTAATTTTGAGGTTTTTCTTTTCTCGGAAGCACCTCTTAGAATATCTAAAGTTCAACTGAGTTTTCTGTTCAGTTTTTAAAAATCCAACACATTTATTTACTGCTCACCACCGATCTGTCAATATGCATATGTATCACTTCATTTATATTTCTCTTATCCTGATAAGCTTTTGTATTTCTAGTAATTGACTACCCAATAATATTTTAAAATAAACTTCCAAAAATTGAGAAGTGCACTTAGTTGATTCCTCAGGAGCTCATTATCCGGAGCTTCCATCTTTCATACTTACCCTCTGAGTCAACCCTGTCCCGTATCTTTTAATTTTTGGAAGAACCTCCCACGGGGTTTTTTCGCGGTGTTTACATAATAGCTAACGCTCATAATAATAGCCAACGCTCTTAAGTAAGTAATCAAATAGGAGCCATCTATGAGACAACTGCTGCTCACTTTTCGTTTATTGTAGGTGGTGGCGGCGGCGGAGGCGGCTTCTACAATAATGGACAAGATACACAGTACTCTAAAAATAAAGGAGGTAAAGGATATCTTTAAGGAGGAGGGGTGTAAATGCTGCGGGTTGTTTCGGAGGGGAGGTGGTTTACGTGGAGGCAACCATGGAGCTGGAGGAGGTGGAGGTTATTCTGGAGGAAATGGTGGAGCTGATGAACAGTTTTCCTGTGGGGGAGGGGGTGGATCTTTTAACAATGGGACAAATCAGCAAAATACATGTTGTTTTAATAGCTATGAACATGGTAGAGTGATCATCACGTTTCTTCAGTGACATGCCCTTGGCAGCACTTTCTCTAACGTGTAAGGCTAATTCTGTTCTGAAGGCTGATTGTTGTTAGTCTAAACTCCGGAGTTGAATTATCTTTTGTTTGATCTTCAAGTTTAGTTGCTGAGCATTTAAGGTGTTGACCGAACGGTGCAACCTGAGGAATTAAATCGATTTTCAATTTTAATACGATCAGTTATACCCAGTATCTTTGTTTTTCCGGCTGCTATGTGGGCCGACTGATTGCATTTTTTCGCATGACACAGATTGCAGTTTTACTGCCATTGGCGCTGGTTACAAGTTATACAAAAAACTTGTATTACAAGGCCTCGTTTGCTGAGTATCAATAGAATCTTCTATTTATAAATATTTTAGCTTTGTTTTGGTTATACGATGATACTCTTGATTCAAAGTTTCAAAGCTTTCAATAATACCTTAGGTTGGAAAGATCCAGACAGTAGAGAAGGGGAAAGCCGAAATATAGTGGCAAGGGCACAACCCCCATTGCATATAATAGGCCAAGCCGAAAATAAAAAACAAAACTATCAATGAAATTTTTAAAAGCACAGTCCCCGTCAAAGTACCTTCTTTAGGGTTATGGAAATTTGAAAGCTTTTTGGTTTTACTAATAAATCTCATCAGTGATTCGGTCTTGTTTCTCTAAATACGTGAAAGTAAAATTAAGGATGTGAATAAGGTGTGCTGTTTTAAAATCATGTCCATTTATTGGACTGGGAATACTCATACGCCTGTCGGGCGAACTTATGTAATAATCGGTGTTATAACAGAGTTTGCGACTCAAAAGACTCAGTCTGACTACAGATCAGGGCTCACACTGGAAGAGAATTGTTCAATGGCTTTCGCTGGAACTGTAAGTTCGATCGACTATGTGACGATTTCGACCCTAATTGTATCTTGTATCTTCACTCTACCAGTAAGGCCCAGTATCTTTGTTTCTCCTCCCTTTGGTTCGTATTTTGCTGCCGGTTGCAAACTATTCGCGAAAAGTGTGTTTTACTAATTTGTGATACGTTTGGTGTCTTATGGTTTTTTTTATCATTGTAATATACCATTCTTTATTATTTTAGTTTTGGTTTTTAGGATTCCAGTCGATTGAAAAGGGTTCAGCTACACCTATAGCGGAATGCATATTTGAATTTTATGTTTCAGCGAGAGGTACATTGTATTCTTGATAATTTATTTTACATTTTGAGGAAGTATCAGGGAGCGTGGAAAAGAAATATCAGAAGTATTTGCTGCATAAGGCATTTTTTTACGATTAACTGATTGGTTAACTTAACAGATACTGTGTTGTAACTCGGTGATTGTTTATAGTTGTTTCTGGCATCTTATGTTAATGCATCATTCACCTTCTATCGTACAAAACACGTGATTCTAAACCGGGATGTAAGAGTTGCTCTAATTCGCTTCAGCATGAGGGAAACGGGAAATTCAATGGTTATTCCTGGACATGAAATCATGTAAATTTAATTCATATTTCTTGAAATATTCAGTCGCACTTTGACCACTAAGCATTTCTATAATCTAAAGGTTTTGTTCAAATTTAATTATATATTGAAGTTATGCTGGAAAAATCCTTCTCGACGGAAACTGGAGTGCCGATATAGTGAACTGAATACATTGGACTGAACTGTTTCCAACATATACATACTTTGTATCCCAGCGGACAATCTATGCTTAACTTTCATGTTTTTTTAATTACAATAATCGCTACCTGTTTCAGCCAACAGGTGTCTTTTCTCATAGTTTTACTCAGTCTTTGACACTTTGTCCCTCCGTATTGCTTACTTTCAAATGCTTACAACTCAAAAAGAAAATCCTAACCACTAAAAGTTTCATTTTAATATCCCTACTTAGTGAGTATGGCTTGCATTGAGAACATCTCGGTGGATGTAACAGTTTCATGGGTTCCTACAAGTTTTTTAATATGATTGTGGAATTTTATAATGCAACGCGAGAAGTCCGTCAATTTTGTATTTTGGTTATAAAAAACTTTGACCCACTTAGAACACATGCTCAGCGCCTTTACTCTTATCTTCATAAGTGAATAGGTTTCTGCTTAATTAACATGTATCTTTGCATTTGATTGTTTACTCTTTAGATATCAATGCTCGCCTGGCTATGGAATAAATTTATTTGTGGTTATAAACTTCCACACCTGTGTTTCACCAATCGCGAAAAAGTAGATGTTCAAGGTTTGCCTTACGTTTGCATCCAAAACTTAAGTCAATTTCAACCCACAGGAACAAAGAGGTGTTTCATTATTTCTGCTTTGCTGTGTTGTCTATCTCTTGCATTTTCTTCCCGGTTTTAGGAGAAACTTACCTTGCATCTTAAAACTTCCTTGTTATTCCCTATTTGTTTGGTAATCAAACATTCCTCGTGGTGCTGACGTATTTCGAATTGCCAGTTTCATATAGACTTAATTCTTGAAAACTAATTGTCAGAGAATGCCTCGGATTCTCTGACAATTAGTCAGACAATGGAGCAGCCTGTGGCTAATAAATAGCTCTGTTTTATGTTATCGAAAGACAAAATAGAAACTCTCTCAGAAGTTGTACTGTTAAAAATGCTCATTTTTTCTCCTTTTCTCACCATGTTCGTCCTGGATGTATTTCACTGTACACCTCAACTTAATTCCGGGAAACAATGAGACTCTCGGGAAAGCTAAACCAATAATACTCGTGAACAAATCACGCGCGTCTGATTAGCTGAGAACGAGTGCATTTTTATGTAACACGAATGCAAATTTGTTACAGGAGTTCATGCAAATTACAATAGCGTGCGCGTTGTCAAAATTTCGTTTGTCTTGAATTTCTGTGATACCTTTTTCATGTACATTTCTAACATGTAATAGCATGATTTCTCTTTCCACAAAGAGTCATTTCGGTCCACGTTACGAGGGAGATTACTCTAGGAAGAAATGAAAGCTCCTTACCAATCAAAAGTTAAAGGGACCTTCCTCTGATACGAAAATGGAGGAAAAAGTTTCAGGAAAGTGCAGATTAAGTCAAGGGTGGTATCAAGCCCCCCATTACTCAATAACAACAACAAGTGATACCTTTGTGAAACTTAAAAGCTTGCTTGTTTATTGAAATCACACTCAGCAATTAAAAACAAAGATATGAAATAATTATTATAAAAACCCTTAACATGACATTACGTGACATTTCTAACGATTTAGCTGCTGTAATAAGCAGAATTATTGTAAAAAAATGGGATTAAAAAACAAAAGGACTTAAAATAAAAAAACAACCTCTAGACTGAATGTCTGCAGTGCTAAAATATTTTTGCTTCTCAGCCTTGGCTTCCTAAGACTCTTGATACTATCAGCTACAGTCGGTACAGATTTAAGCTACATTGCCAATTGAAAATACGATCTCATGCATAGGAAACGGTGAATTCCTCTCTATTCAAAATTGTAACTTTCAGTAAAACAGTGTCTATCGAATTCGTAATATTAGCAACGCCACAGCGGTGCTGAGAACACATCTCACTAAAAGCTGGACTATTAACGACACTAACTTAAAAATGTAAAAAAAAAAGAGCCACTGTGGGTTCAAATATTACCGCTTATCTTGGGGGTAACAAAAAAAGCGTGGAATGTTTATGATATAATAAACACCTGATTTCCGTTAGCATTTTGTCTTCAACACGGTGAAGGTACCTACAACGCGATAGGTGCATTTCGTTCATCATATGATCGTGGCTGATAATATGGGCGTGACCTATAGTATGTTGGACGTAAGCAAACATATTGGGAACAATATACGTAGTAAACCAAGTGAAACCGAAGCTATCTTGGTTTCAATTTTCCAGTATCCTCCACTATTGGAACACCAACACTTATCCCAGTAGGTAACAGTGCCTTTTCCACCTGGGCACAGATTACATGGGTGAATTGGCGGAAATGATCTCGCATTTCGACGACTGCGATGTTACGTTCCTGTTGTAGAAAGAAAAGACACAACTGCATTAAATGTGTAACAACAATTTAAAGTTTGCAAAACAAG